GTAAATAATTTTGTCCTTCAATGTGTTGCTGCAGGTCCATTTCTATGTCCGTATGATTTTATGATTAGCTTCTGTGTTGAGAACGGATGAAGAGGAACACAACAATGTAATTTCAAGAAGTCTTTGACAATTGGGGCCATTTATTTTTGGGATAGCTTGTTGGTTATATAAGCAAACTCAGATATTGATCCAATATTTTGTAATATTTTTTTGGTCAATTGTGATTGCTTTATAACTTTTTGAGTAGGTTAATGAAGTTAGCATATTGTACTGAATCATATTTACTATTTTTGTTTATTAGAATTATGTAAAATTTTCAGGCATTTTTTTTTGTTATTATTATTAGGTTTGTTGGAAATTACATAGGCCTTGTATGGGAGGGATTAAAATCGGATTAAAATTGAAAATATAGCCGTTATTGTTGACTTTTATTAGACGAGTGAGACCCAATAACGGCCATATTTTCAATTTTAATTGGCTTTTAATCCCTCCCGAATGGAGCCATAATTGTGAGATATTTTTTTTTTCAAAATTGTAACATAACCTACGGCAACGTTTATGGACCGTTGCCATAGGGACGTAGTAGGGGCTCCTACGTCCCTACGGCAACGGTCCATAAACGTTGCCGTAAGTGATCTACTTTACGGCAACACCTTGATTTGCAACACACGTGTAAACGTTGCAAAAGGCCTACGGCAACATTTTTCGAACGTTGCCATAGATTGTTTTTGTTGTAGTTGTGGGACTATAAAACTAGTTTGGGAACTGTTTGAATAATTTTTTGAAAATATTTTATGTTTAGATGAACTTTTAGAAGAGCAATTTTTCGAAAAGTTCTTTCACAAGAAACAAAAGCAAGACCAAAAGCACCTTGTTCTCCTTGATGTCACAAGGCAATTTCTTTATCGAGACTACATATGACTCTTCCATTTCAAGCTCACGGGAATGTTAGAGATACTCAGGCATTTCACGTTATAACACACGTAGTCGAATTCAGTTGTTGTTGAGGTAATTATAAGCTTACAATTTTTTCTAAGCGATTGATAAGAAAACTTGGTTTTGTTAAATGCGAAAAGAATTAACCACTTTTCATTCAAAATATAACAATTCTGGCCATATATACATATTGTTCAACTTTGGATGCACGAGAAACTTTAAGTTCCAACTTTTTCTAACCGATTGATAAGAATGTTGGCAATTGAGTGCCAATGGTAGTAATCTGCGGAACTTACCAAAGAGTTAAACAATGAATTAAAATGAATTTGTTGACACGTGAAGGCATTTGGAATCTAATATATTCCATGACACATTAAACTATAATGTAAGTGCAGAAAGTGGATAGCCCTTTTGACACAAAGTTGATCACTTTTGTTTTGCACACCTCGTGGGATTATAGCTAAAAGACTGCTTTTAATCCATGCACCTTTTTTATACCTTTAAATGGATTTACTTTTTCCCATTATCTCATAGACATGTAATGGATAATAACTCCTTTGATATTGCTTCTGTTTTTCCTACTTCTCTTTTCATGGTAGAAAAGTTTTTTGAGAAACCTATTTTAGACCAACTTCCTCTAAAAATTATTCTAACAAAACAATGTACTTCAAATCCCGACCATCGATAACCAAATTTATCATTTCTTGTCTCGTGAGATTTACACCCAAAACATAATTTTTTCAACTATTCCTCAAAGTATGAACTAAGGTTGAATTTATATAC